ATTTTGTAGCTCGTGAAATTCTCTATCGAATGGTATATAATAGTTGGGGTTTTAGTTGACTATGATAGGAAAAGTCTTTTACGAAAGTGGGGATGGGTCGATCTTTCCATAGGGAAGGTGCAGGGAAAAATGAGTCTTTTTGCAATAACTCAGGAAGGGCTCGGCCAATCCTTCTCATCTTCGAACTCGACCGAGATATTGTTAAGACTGAACTGTGTAGAAAATTTCATCGCGATCGGACTCTCCTTTCAAAAGTTATCGTGTTAACGGCCGGACGGCCGGACACACTGACCGATTCTAGAGTGTACTCACTTTTTGAGTACACAATAAACTAAAATCAGGAGCAATCAGGAGAAAACCATGAAAATCAGCTCCTGAATTCACAAGAATTTTAATCAGGAGAAGATTCAAAAAGTCAGGAGTCTCCTGGTCAAATCAGGAGATTTGGCAACTCTGATAATTTCATGATCAAATGAACAAGATCAATAATATTGATATTGATAGTTTTCAGCTAATAACAAGAAACTAATCTATATGAATGACAGCTTGATAGTGAAAAGCCAAGATACTGTTTACAACGACGCCATTACACACTTTATTATTATGACACAGCCTCCACTGTATTGATTGATATGAAACTAGTTTTACAGCTGTAGCGTAGGGACATCTTCCGCGTGAAACTCAGTTTGATCGAAAATAAAATATACAAATTAAAAGAGAACTTAATATAAAGTATTTCTATAATAATTTTTTTTTCTGATGTGAATATGTGAACTAGATGTCTCCACTGGTAGTGTATCATGCTGTCAATTGGTGATTCTAGTCACATTGTTTTCGCCAGACAACGTACTAATAAAAAAAAATCATATTTTTGATTTATTCGATTATTTTAATGAAAGAATTTGATGGCAACAGGAACACCAACAACTAATTCTCATAGTGGAAAACATCCCCATGTCGATACGACACACTAGTGACACATGTGTCGACACATTATATGACACATGTAACTTCAGTCACGCTTTGATACATGTGTCACCAGTGTGTCATAGTGTGTCGACACATGTGCGTAACGTGTGTTACGATGTGTCGACACATTCATATCCACCGTGTCGCCGTGTGTCTGTGTCGCTTTTTAAAATCATTCTATTGGCTTATCTTTCGTCACTAGCAGCTATTATTATATTAATAGATATATTAATATTTAATTTTTTTTAGCAGCATTCGCTGCACAATACCTTTATTTCAATAAAAAAAATGTGTATTTAACAAAAAAATATACATAAAAAAATACACATAAAAAAATATAAATAAAAAAAATAAAATGTACATTAAAAAAAAATAAAATGCACATTAAAAAAAAAAACATTAAAAAATATAAATAATAAAATACAATGTACATAAAAAAAATGAAATATACATTTAAAAATAACATGCACATAAAAGAATTTACATGAAAAAAATAACTAAAAAATGGAGACCATGCACAGTTGCATTATTCGTAGAACGGAGATGTTTTTGGAACAAATTTGGGCAAATTTATAAAAAAAAAATAAGATTAAATTATATAAAAAAAAAAACTTACGTGAATTCTATTAATAATTTCATTCAAAAAATTTAATATAATATCCGTTGTTAAACTTTAAGATCTAAAACTATAAAATAAAATTCAATTTAATTTTAAAAAATTAATTTATTTTCAGCTTATAAGGACGACGTTTCAAATTTATATAGACGAAAAGAAATACGTTTTTTTTTCTTTCCTTTCCTTTATCCATACTATATCGCTATTTATCCATGACACGCTACCGATACATGTGTCGACACATGCCGTACAGAAAAATCACTGTGATGACACATATCGTTACATGTAACTCCATCGTGTCATTGTGTCGACACATGTGTCGGTAGCGTGTCGTATAGACATGGGATCGATTAGAACCTGAAATAGAAAAATATCGTTTAGAACTTAATTGGACTAAAATTCTTGATAAATTAAAAAGTGCAAAAGTTTCAGGTTTTATTTCTTAGTTTGGTTTTTTTTAAATAAAAATCTAAAATGTAATTTGTTTTTTTTGTTTTTTGTTTGAAAAGAATATGTTAAATTTTTGGAAGGAGAAGCTCAATTAGAATATTATTTACAACAATATCCATTAACTGATTATCGTCATATAGAACAATCTCGAAATGATTTAATTCGTGTTGAAAATCTTCTAAAATCAGGTGGATCAATTCGTTCATTTGAAGGTCAATGTTTATTAGCTAAATTATATTATGCTCAATCACGTTATGATGAATGCTTAACATATGTTAATTTAGCAATTAATTCAATACCAAATGATATAAACGAACAACCAAATAGATCTTCTTTATTACTTGCAGAAATTTATGCACTTAATGGACTTTTATTAGAAAAAAAAATGAAGATTTACATGAAATAATTAAATCATTTGATGATTCTTGTAAATTAAGTCAAACATATTATGCTGCTGTTGAAAAATCTAAGCATTTAAGTAGTGAGAATTTAGATATTGAAAATTCTTTAATTGAATTAGCTTATCAACGTTTATCACTTTTACATGCTTCAAACAAGTTAATTCTTTTTTTGTAAAAATTAATATTTATTTTAAATAAATATATATATATATATTTTTTTTTGTTTAGTAGTATAAAAACAGCTATTGAAATATTTCGTTCATATATTCGAAATGTTCATATTAAATCATTAGAAACAATGAGGCAAGTTTGCTTTAGATAAATTAAATTAAATCTATAAGACATTTTTTGTTTTTGTTAATATAGACATTAATTAAACAATATGCCGAATTATTATTATAATGTGTTTGTAAAGGAAATTATATTCAAATAATAAGTTCAGATGATAAAACTAATAAAACTAATCGTCGATCATCTCAGTAAGAATAAATAAATAAATTAATTATAAAAACTAGATCATTATTTATTCCTCGAGATGTTGATGAAGAAATTTTGTTATTATTATTATTGGGTCAAACATCAACATTAAATGAAGCTGTACTTGATTGGCAACCTGAACATGAAGGTCAAAGAGAACGTAGTCATGAAGCTGCTTATAATATTCTTGCTCTTCTATCTATATTTCTTTCTCGTAAACAAGCATTTCATATTATTGCTGATGTAATATTTTCTTTTTTTATCTTTTATGTTTATAAAAATTGAATATAATATATACATATATATAGTCTTACGAACAAGCACTTCGTTTTTCATTTGAACATTTTCAAACATGGTTTAATTATGGATTATCATTAATATCATCAGGTCAATCATTTCGTGCTTATCTTATATTAAAACAATGTTTAAGAATGCAACCAAAAAATCTTCAAGTTTATTTACAACTTGCTAAAATAATTCTTGAATATATATATGATGTAGATTTAATTGAATTGTTTTTTTGTTTTTAATTCTGAAATTGGTATATTATTATTTAAAATAGTTTCCATCATTATTTGAAACATTTCCATCGACTGATGAAGATAAACAAACATTATTCAAACAAACATTATATCAACAACAATATTATTTAAATCAACATGAACAATGACCGAGATTTATTGATCTTGTAATTTTCATTTTTTTTATTTATAAAAAAAAGAAAAAATATTTAATATTAAGATTGATGAAGCAATTAATTATTGTCAACAAGCAAAAGAACTTGAAAATCCTCCATTTGCTCGTTCACTTCTTCTTGCTATTGCCAAATCATTTAAAGCTCGACAAACATCAATTCATCATGATCGTCAAGCACTTTTTCAATCAGCTATTAATGATCTTCGAGAGTATTTTTATTTTTTTTTGTTTTTCTTTATATAAAATAAATGTTTATATTTAAAAGATCTATTGAACTTGATCCATATGATTCAATATCACATTTTCATCTTGCTCATAATTTATCTTTTCTAAATCAAGTTCTTTCATTCATTCTTTCTTTTTAGATTTTAACTATTGTTAAAATTGTTTTGAAACGATTAAAATCAATATAAACGATTAAATAAAAAAATACAAATTGAATTATTTTCAATTTAAAGGATTAAATACATATTGAATTTTCTTCAATATAAACGATTGAATAAAATACAAATTGAATTTTTTTTGAATATACACGATTAAATAAAAAATACAAATTCAATTTTTGTTCAATAAAGACTACTAAGATTTTGATTTTCTCATCTCAAAGTTTCTTACTTAGAATCGAGTGAATCTTCACCAAGTTTTAACGAAGATTTTTCTCGAAAGAAACTTTGCCATTGTTTATCTCACTAAGTTTAGAGATAAACGCACGTCTCACTAAGTAGAAGACGTACTCGGTATATACACGTGCTTAATCTTAGTGAGAAGCTGCTTTCATTTAAAATTTTAACGACTAGTTTAATCGTATTTTATTTCATTATCTACGGCCTGGAAAAAATCAGTCACATCAAAAGTACTTTTTCAGCTAGTTTGAAGAAATGCCGAAGCTTAAAAGAAGATCTATATCTCAAAGAAATGTCGAGATAGCTAGGAAAATGAGAGAAAGAAGAACTGATGATGAGGTTCGCTTGTTAGATAATAGAAGACGAGCAAATTCTCATAAAATTGAACGACGAAATAATGAATTCAAAACAGAAGAAAATAAAAGAAGAGCCGAAGCTCTGAAAATTGAACGACAAGATGATGAATTCAAAACAGAAGATAATAAAAGAAGAGCCGAAGCTCATAAAATTGAGCGACAAGATGATGAATTCAAAACAGAAGAAAATAAAAGAAGAGCCGAAGCTCATAAAATTGAGCGACAAGATGGTGAATTCAAAACAGAAGAAAATAAAAGAAGAGCCGAAGCTCTGAAAATTGCACGACAAGATAAGGAATTCAAAACAGAAGAAAATAAAAGAAGAGCCGAAGCTCACAAAATTGAGCGACAAGATGATGAATTCAAAACAGAAGAAAATAAAAGAAGAGCCGAAGCTCTGAAAATTGCACGACAAGATGATGAATTCAAAGAAGAAGAAAGAAGAAGAAATGCACTAAGAATGCACAATAGTAGAGATAATTACAAAAGTAGTTTTGATGGCATGAAATCAAATTATGAGTCAAAAATAAAAGAAGGACCTACTCATATTTGCAGCTGCTGTGGTGGTTTATGGTTTGAGTATTCAATCAGAGAATTTACAGTTGAGATGTTAACAAACAAAGGATTAAAAAAAGAATTTATCGATACAGTTTGTTATCTCAAAAATACAATCATTAAATTATGTGTCACTTGCAGAAAGGACATCATGTCGAATAAGGTACCTAATCTCAGTCTATCTAATGGTTTAGCATTCTATGAAGTACCGGATTGCTTGAAAATCTTGACTGAATTAGAAGAAAGATTAATATCGCCAAGAATTCCTTTTATGGTTATTCGAAGTTTAGGTTCTTGTAAACAATTCGGTCTCAAGGGTAACCTTGTAAATGTTCCCATGAATGTTGATACGAATGTTTCAGTATTGCCTAGAAGTTTCAGTGATACTCACACGATTCAATTGAAACTCATGAGACAAATGAAAAATAAAAATGCTTTTATGTATGAAACAATTCGACCAAAAGTTGTGCATACTGCTGTAAAATATTTGGTTGAGCAAGAGCTGTATAAAGATGAAGGAATTGTGATATCTCATGATTGGCTGAAAGAATATTCTAACGAGAGAGAGAATTTTATCATCGATGATGAAGATAAGAAATTCGATGAAAATGAAAACATCAGCAAAGATTTTGATGACGAGGACAAATGGAATGAATGTGACGATAAACCAGTCAATCCAAGTACTACTGAAACATTATTAAATGACGAGATTGGTGATCAGAATGATATTGGTATCAAATTTGCTCCAGGAGAGAATAACAGGCCAATATCAATTTTAATGGATTTAAAAGTCGATGAATTAACATTTCCGAAAATTTATTGTGGCAAGCAAAGAAAAATCAAAGCAAATGTTAAATTAACTTATGCTAAGATTGCCAAGTCAGAATTAAGAATGTTTGATCGAAGATGTGGTAGAATATCGAAATTGTTTTTCACATATAAGAAACTACAAACGAGAAAGTTCTCCGATGCTATTTCAATAAATTTGAGAAAGACAAAAAATACAAAAAACATAACTGTTGCACAAATGCGCAATCGAGATTATGTCAATGGATTGATTCATAATGATGATGCTTTTACATTCTTGAGATGTGATCGATCGTCACCAGCGTTCTGGGAACTAAAGAAAAAGGAAGTTATGGCGATGATCAGACAGTTAGGATGTCCAACACTATTTTTAACATTATCAGCAGCAGAAACAAAGTGGTCGGAACTTATTGTAATATTGGCTAACGTGTTGGAAAATAAAGTCATAACATTAGAAGAAGCAGAGAATATGAGCTATGAAAAGAAGTGTGATTTGATAAGAAAAGATCCTGTAACATGTGTTCGTTATTTTGAACATAGAGTAAAATGTCTATGGGAAATATTATCAGCTCCTTCTGGTCCATTTCAAGGCTACGAACTAGAAGACAAATATGTCAGAATTGAATTTCAAGCTCGTGGTTCACCACATGTTCATGCCTTGATATGGTTAAAAAATGCTCCAAAATACGACAAAAATAAACCTGAATCAATTAAAGAATGTATAGAATTTATTGATAAACTGATTTCAGTTAGTTCGAAACCAACACAATTTTCTGAATGCCTTATATGTTTGCAACGTCATAAACACTCACATACCTGTAAAAAACACGTAAAGGATGGCATTGAATGTCGCTTTGGTATTCCATATTTTCCAATGAGAAAAACGATGATTTTAGAGCCATTCAGTGACGATGAAAAGTTAACTAAGAAAGAACGTGAAGAGATAAGTAAAAAAAGACGAAATGTAGTTCAAGAACTTGACAAAATATCAAAAGATACAGATAATTCATTAACTTTTGATGAATTCTTGAAACATATCGATATGAATGAAGAAGAATATATTAAAATGATTCGAGCTGGATTAAAAAAAGCGAAAGTATTCTTGAAACGTGCTCCAAATGAAATCAGAATCAATGCATACAATCCAATGATAATGTCATTGCACAAAGCAAATATGGACATTCAGTTCATTCTTGATCCTTATGCATGCTCAATGTATTGTGTTGACTACATTAGCAAATCTGAAAATGGAATGTCTAAACTTCTAAGAGAAGCATTGAATGAGCTGAAAAAAGGCAATAATACAGTCAGAGAACGTCTTAGAGTTATTGCAAATAAATTTTTGAATTCAAGTGAAATTTCAGCACAAGAAGCTGTCTATCATGTTTTAAGTATTCCACTTTCAACCAGCAGCAGAAGTACTGTATTTATTAATACAAATAGACCCGAAAACAGAATTTCAATGGTCAAATCAGATGAAGTTCTCCAGAATCTGGAGCCTGATTCAAAAGACGTTTTCGTTCAAGGTCTAATTGATACATATATGAATAGGCCTGAAGAAATGAAAAATATCTGTTTAGCTGATTTTGCTTCATTGTACAATGTATCAAAAAAACAAACAAACAACGTTCAGCTTACGGAAAATTCAGATGATGAAAATGTCATTGAGAATGAAGATGATGAAAAAAGTATCGCTCTAAAGATGAAAAACGGAAAAGGATGGATAAAGAAAAGAACGAAGAAAAAAGTAATAAGATTCAGAAACTTTAAGCTACATCAAGATCCTGAAAATTATTACAGAGAGCAGCTGATGCTTTTTCTGCCATGGAATAATGAAGAAGAGGATCTTATTTACATAAATCATGAAGAGAAATTCGAATTACATAAAGATTTGATCCGACAAAAGAGATCTGAATATGTTCATCGTGAAGCTAATGAATTTGAAAAAGCTCTTGAAGAGCACAAAGAAAGAGAAAATGAAGATGATATTGAAGATAAGAATATTGAATACGATCAAGATAAAAATGAATTTCTTATCTATGAAACAGGAAATCATGAAGGTGATATCTTTGTTGAAATGGGAGTAAATACTCGAACTGAAAAAGTCGAACATTTCAATGTTCCCAAACTGATACCAGATGCCGATTATCAGCGATTGATGAGAAGTCTTAATAACAATCAAAGGAAATACACTTTGAATGTGATGAATTTGATCAAAGATAGTGATAAGCAATTTTTCCATTTCATTAATGGAGGTGCAGGTGTTGGCAAAAGCACTTTGATCAAAGCAGTATATCAGTCGATACTGAGATTTTACAATTCTCTTCCAGGATCTAATCCAGAAAGTATTCGTGCTGCAATTTGTGCACCAACTGGCAAAGCAGCTGCATTAATTGACGGAATGACTTTGCATTCATTTCTAAGTTTACCGGTTAATCAATGCAAACATAAACTTGTTAAACTAGACAGCGATGTTTCCAATAGAATTGGAGTAAAATTGAAAGACTTGCAATTACTAATCATAGACGAAATATCAATGGTTGGTTTTACGATGTTTCAGCAGGTCGATGCTCGTCTACAGCAAGTGATGAGATCAAAAGAACCATTTGGTGAAATATCAGTTATAGTTTTAGGCGATTTCAATCAACTAAGACCAGTTGGCGATAAGTACATATTCCAGTATAACAATTCGTATAATGCTTTAGTAGATAATCCATTATGGTCACTTTTTCAGTTGTTCGAATTGACGGAAATAATGAGACAAAAGGATGATAAGATTTTTGCCATTGCCTTAAGTAACATAGCAAAAGGAATGATGACACTTGAAGATATCAATTTGCTAAAATCACGAATTGTTTCAGATGAAAATTCGGAAATCATGAGAGATGCAGTAAGAGTATTTAGAAGTAATGCTGAAGTTGATGCATATAATACAAAAGTGTTGGCCAGTTTTAATACTGAAGGTGCAACTGCCAATGCTTACGATTTTTGTGTTGGTGACGGACTTGCATCAATAAGAGAAAAAGTATTAAGCAACATAAAAAATCTGAAAACAACTGAAACTTACGGTTTACCACTTGAAATCGATTTGAAAGTGGGTGCTAAGTATATGATGACAGTGAATTTGGACATTGAAGACGGATTAGTAAATGGTGCATGTGGACAGTTGATGATGATTGATTATGGAAAACTTCAGAAGACTAATGATACAGTGCCATGTCGGTTATGGATCAAGTTTAATGAGGAGAAAACTGGAAGAAAAGCAAGAGCTAACTTTCATAATGCAATGCGAAGTAGAAATATGGATCCCAGTCTCACACCGATTGAACCAGTAACACGACAAATAAATACACGATCAACAAATTTCAAAGTAGAACGAAAACAGTTTCCTCTAGTTCCGTCTGAAGCCATGACTATATATAAAAGTCAAGGTGGAACTTATGAAAAAGTCGTTGTTAATCTAAAGAAAGGAATGACAAGATCTGAACTATACGTTGCTTGTAGTCGTGCAACAAAAGCAAGCGGTTTATATTTGATCGGCGACTTCGTTCCACCGAAACCGCCTGAACGTAATGATGCAGTGGCGACAATGTTCAAAAGCATGAGATCAGAACGAATGCTGAAATTTTCACTTGAATTTCCTGAAGAATCTCAAGGAGAAAGATTTTTCGTGATGTTTCATAATGTACAATCATTGAATAAACATATTTTGGATATCAGATCTGACAAAACATTTTTGTGTGCTTCTGTGATAAGTCTTGTTGAAACATGGACAAAACCTACTGATTCTTTGGAAATTGAAGGTTTTAAAGTAATTCACAGACGTGATTGTAATGATACACGAAAACCATTCGGTCAAATCACTTACTTAAAAAATGATTTGAAGTATGAAAATATCACCGAAAGATGTGAATATTCAGGGAAAGACCATATTGA